CTGTTATCCCCTTGAAAATCACACAATTGCTAGTTGAGTTTCCAAATGTAGCACTTGAAGAAATTTCGCATGGATTACCACCTATGAGAGACACCTAACATGTTATCGACTTTATTCTTGGAACTATCATTTCTAATAGACCAGCTTATCAAATGAGTCCACAAGAACATCCTGAGATTCAATGTCAAGTTGAAGAGCTGCTAAAGAAAGGGTTGATCAAGGAAAGTGTTAATCCTTGTGCTGCACCTGCACTCTTAGAGTTGAAGAAAGATGGGAGCAGGAGAATGTGAATCGATAGTTGAGCTGTTAACAAGATCACTATCAAGTATCAATTTCCAATACGAAGGCTTGATGATATGTTCGATCAGCTGCATGGTGTCACTATCTTTTTTAAGATCAATCTTTCTAGTGGTTACCATCAGATTAGAGTCAAGCTAGGAGATGAATGGAAGACTGCCTTTAAAACAAGAGATGGTCTATATGAATGGACAGTTATGCCTTTCAGACTGTCCAATGCTTCTATCACATTCATGCGATTAATGAACCGGGTTTTTTGACCTTTTATTAGATGTGGTTGTTTACTTTGACGATATTTTAATCTATAGCAAAGGCAAGGAAGAACATCTTATGCACCTTCAACAAATGCTACATACTCTCAATAAGAAAAAGCTTTATGCTAACTTGAAGAAATGCTCATTCTTGACAGAAGAAATAATCTTCCTAGGATACATTGTCACTCCTGAAGACATTTGAGTTGACTCTAGTAAGATTGAAGCCATTAACAATTAGCCCATTCTTAAGTCTGTCCATGGTGAGAGGAGTTTCCATGGCCTAGTTTCCTTCTATAGGAGATTTATTAAAAACTTTATTCCATTGCTGCTCCACTTACAGACTATATTAAGGGAGATAAGTTCCAATGGATAGAGCAAGCCAGAAGAGTTTTGAAGAATTGAAGAAGAGATTAACTGAAACACTTGTACTAGGCCTTCCAAACTTTGACCAAGTGTTTGAAGTCAATTGTGATGCTTCTAACCTTAGAATAGGTGTTGTCTTAAGCTAAGAGGGACATCCTATAGCCTACTTCAGCGAGAAACTCAATGATGGCAAACTCAAGTACTCCACTTATGATACGGAGTTCTACTCTATTGTTCGTGCATTGCAATACTAGAGCCATTACCTATTGAACAAGAAGTTCATACTCTACTCAGATCATGAAGCCCTTAAGCATTTAAATTCCCAACAAAAGATCAGTCATCAACATGTTGCTTAGAGCGAGTTTTTGCAGACTTGCCCATTCTTACTTAAGCATAAAGTGGGAGTTCAAAATACTATTGTAGATGCCCTCAATAGACGCCATGCCCTGCTTTATACTCTCCAAACAAAGGTTGTCGGTTTTGAGATCCTCAAGGAGATGTACTAAGATGATCTAGATTTTTGTGAAGCTTTGAGTGCTATTGAATCACAATCTTTTCATAAATACTACAAACATGAATAATTCCTATTCAAAGGAAAAGCTCTCTGCATTTCTCAAAGCTCATTACGAGAAGTAATCATATAGGAGGCTCATGATGAAGGATTAGTTGGCTACTTTGAGAGAGACAAGACTTTGACCTTAGTAAAGGAAAACTTCTATTAGTCTATACTTGAAAGAGATGTTAATAGACACATTCAACGATGTAGAATCTGCTGTCTGGCCAAAACTACGAGCCAAAACATAAGGTTGTACATGCCTCATCCAGTTCTTGAAGCACCTTAGAAAGATGTCAGCATGGATTTTGTTCTTGGACTACAAGGAACTCAATGCTAGACAGATTCTATAATGATAGTTGTCAATAGATTCTTGAAGATGGCTCACTTTATTGCTTGCCAAAAGACCAATGATGTTGTTCAAGTTGTTGATCTGTACTTCAAGGAGATTATTTGTCTTCATGAAATTTTTAAGACTATCACCTCTGATCAATATGTGATGTTTTTAAGCCACTTCTAGAGAACCTTGTGGAAGAAAATGGGTACCAAGCTGCAATTCATTAGTACTAGTCACCTTTAGACAAATGGTCAAACTGAAGCTATCAATAGGCTTTTGGGAAATTTGCTTCGAAGCTTTGTTGGAAAGAATTTGAGATAGTGGCATCTTATCCTTGCCCAAGTTGAGTTTGCCTACAACAATTCCACTGATCAAGCCATTGAAAAATGTCCACTTAAGGTGGTCTATGACAATCGCCCCCTTAGCCCGCTTGACTTGACCCCTTCATCCAACAAACAACAGTATAGTGCTTATGCAAATCAAAGGGCAGAAGAAATTAAGAGGTTGCATGCCCAAGTTTTTAATAAGATCAAGAAGCAGAATTCTAAGTACAAGACTCAATGGGATAAGGATCGAAGACTGAAGACTTTTAAAGAAGGAAACTTAGTATGGATTCACCTGCGAAAGGAACAACTCTCAAAGTAATAAAATGCCAAGTTATCCCCAACAACTGACAGTCCATTCAAAGGTGTGCAAAAGATTAATGATAATGCCTACAAAGTCAAATTACCTAGTACTTGTGGAGTCTCTGCCACCTTTAACATTGCAGATTTATCTCTATACTTTAAAGATGAGGTAGAATATAATTCAAGGGCGAGTTCTTTCTAACCCAGGAAGGATGATGAAGGTTCAATTCACTAAGGAAACATGGATCATGTTAAAGACCAAATCCAAGAAGTAAGAACTCAAACCTAACCCATGAATCCTTCATCTGCATAATGAATGCTACTATGAATAGCCTTTTTCTATTGCATAAGTTACAACAACTACAACAGTCCCAACAAATATTCTTTAATAGTTTATCTTCCAAAACTTATCCTAATTAAGTTTAATTTCTGCCAGATTTTTGTTAATTTTTTAAGATAAATTTAGCCCTTCAAGATTAGTATAAATAAGACTCTATGCTATGTTATTATTATCAAACAAATTTAAGAATAATTCTTATATATTAAGAGTGTTCTCTATTCTCTCCAATTACCATAATTCTTTGCATAGTCCATGGAGCCACTTGTTTTGCTTTAAAGTTGTGTCTTATGAATAAAAGAATAAACGCTCCTTAAAGAAGTATAGCGAGGTCAACTAACTAATTTGATATAACGAGAGTTCAATGATAAGGTTTGAATACTAAAGATTTAGTACACCAAATTAAACACACATGTCTCATATTTCCATGTAAAAGTCCACTATGGCAATGGTTTACAAAACGTATATTTATGGGTATAATAAAATTTGATATATTATCTTCACTTTTGGTTGGAGTCTCTTCAGAACTCGGCCACGCCCTGACCCTGTTTGATTTGGACTTATTGGTTGGTTTGTTTTGATTGTAGGGGTTCATGTAATCATAGAATGTTTCTTCTACCTCAACCATTGATTTCTTTGTATGGAAGATGGGTGAGGTTGGTGAAGTGTTTTATTGTAGACGTGAGAGTGCTTTAAATGTACATCATTAGTCACTACTTGCTAACTATACCAAGTTCAGTGTGTTGTTAAATGTTCCCGACTTAGTCTTCCTCATTTGTACTAAGTTTTTTATTTACTAGGAAACAAATTTTGGTCAGGAATTGACTTTTTCATTATTCCTTCTTCTGCTGACTTATATTTTGCTCCAAGGATTTAGTACATAATTAAAAAAAAAAAAACTATGCTTTTTATGACATTTTTTTAAACTTTCTATGTAAAAAAAATATAATATATTTACTCTAAGCACGTGGATCAACTGAGTCCATCTTCTTATTAATATATTATCAAAAACTATATATATATGTATGTTAATTTTATTTATTTAAATAAATTTAATAGTTTATATTAAGTGTTTTATTTGAATAATTCTCTTTCTATATATAAACCATGAATTTTTTATTTAATTTGAAATTAATCGTAATGATTTAGGATCAAGTTAGTAAAGAATATTTACAAACTGGATTTAGCTCAATTCGATTCAACTTGATGTCTATGATTTTGCTTTTAGTCAAAGAAAAATATTATCATTTATTTTTCAGGTTTGTTTTAAAAAAATTAAAATATATAAATATTTATTGTATTAAGAAAATAAAATATTATAATATTTTTCAATAAGATTTATTCTTAATATTAAAATCAATTCTTATATTAATAAAAGAATATAACTTAGATGTTGTTTTTAAATGTTATTTTTCAACTAAAATTATAATTTTATTTTAATAGAATATTTTTATTTAATATTATTACAAAATATCAAAAATAAAAATGTAGTTTTAATTGATATGTATAGCCAACAACATCCAACTAGTTCCAATAAAGATGATGCAATTTGCCTCAATAAATGGAGGATCATATAAACTGTGAAGAGAAAAATTCATGGGTCATTGAAACAACCATTTCTCTACTAAACAAAAGGTTAAAAGAGTATGGATTTCACAACTCATACCAACTTCGTACTTTCTATTTTCATACTTAGCTGCTTTGATCTCTCCTTCACTTCTGCCAATGATACGCTTACATCTGCCCAATTCATCAGAGAACCCCAGACTCTTACCTCAAATAACACTGTCTTCAAGTTGGGATTCTTCAGCCCGCAAAATTCAGCGAATCGCTACGTGGGAATATGGTATCTGTCTGAATCCAATATCATATGGGTAGCTAACAGAAACCAGCCACTAGAAAAAAACTCTTCTGGGATTCTTAAAATTTCTGCAGATGGCAACCTTGTTGTATTAGATAGCAATAAACGGGTTGTCTGGTCATCAAACGTGACACGTATTAGATCCAATTCAACTGCAAAACTTTTAGCGACTGGAAATCTTGTCTTGCTAGATGGTACCACAGGAGAAAGTATGTGGGAGAGTTTCCAACACCCTTCTAATGCTTTGGTGCCAAAGATGAAACTTAGTACTAACAAAATAACAGGAGAGAAGGTGAAAATAATATCATCGAAAAGTGATTCTGATCTTTCTGTTGGGTACTATTCTGCTACTCTTGAACGCCCTCAGGCACCAGAAGCGTTTCTCTGGGTTAATGAAACTCGCCCATATTATCGGTCTGGTCCATGGAATGGCCAGATTTTTATTGGGTCGCCCTTTATGTCAAGTGGATATCTATATGGATGTAGTGTGGTGAATGAAGAAGATGGAACCTTTTAATCTTACTTATAATTTCCCAAATCAATCTTACTTTGGAATCTTGACCTTGAATCCACAGGGCCAACTTGCATGGGTATGGTGGAACCACGAAAAGTTAGGAAGTAGGGGTGTGTCGGAATCAACTTCTTGTGATCCTTATGGCTATTGTGGGGCATTTGGAAGCTGCAATTGGAAGAGCTCACCATTATGCAGCTGCTTGAGTGGATATGAACCAAAAAATGTACAAGAGTGGAATAGAAAAAATTGGACTAGTGGGTGTGTAAGGAAGGAGCCAATTCAATGTGGGAGACTAAAAAATGGAAGTGTAGTCAGCAAAGATGGGTTTTTGAAACTTGAGAATATGAAAGTGCCAGACTTTGTAGAGAGGTCAGAATCTTTGGAAGATGAGTGCAGAGCACAGTGCCTTGGAAATTGCTTTTGTGTTGCATATGCATATGACAGGGGCATTGGGTGCATGTTTTGGAGCAGAGATTTGATCGACACACAGAAATTTTCAAGTGGTGGAGTTGATCTTTACATTCGTCTGCCCCCTTCAGAACTCGGTTGAGTTATCTTTTGTTTTCCTTATAATGTTAATTTAGTATTTGAAGTACTATGAGTTAGTCTATGTTGTTTGACTTGTGTTTTGAAATGCAGAAAAACATTCTTTATTTAAAAGAAAACACAAGACATTGATAGTTCCAGTTGGAGTGACTATAGGAATGATTACCTTGGTTGGCTGTGCTTATCTCTTGTGGAAATGGACCGCTAAATCAATAGGTATGTATCTGTGCTAGATTAAAATGTTATTTTGATTCAAGAATATTCATGGTTTCAGACGGCAAATAGAAAAGAAACCATGAATTTGCTAGGAATATGTATAGATTCCGTAGAAATATGTTGATTGCTACTGCAATGACAATAAACGGAGGAGGGAGATATTAAGGAGAGAAAATATCTTTAAAAAATCATCTGAATCGAAGTAGCTGTTCAAAATATTTAATTTTGATTTGTGTAAAATCTCAAACCTAGTTAAAAATTACACATATTTTTCGCTTAGATATATTTTAAATTTATCTTTTTTTAAAAAATATTCCTATGATTTATAAAATACTTACTAGTATTATTAAAATCCTAAATTTGATATGACTTTTTAATTAATGACTTTTTAAAATCATTAAAATATAAGTCTCAACACGTTTTAGCAAATTATTCATAGAAAAAGGTGGTTGGGTATTTAATTTCACGTGAAGTGTTATTATTATTCAACACAGGAAAAATATACTTAAAAAGGCCGAAAATGAAAGAGGATCAGGAACAAGTCAAACTCAATGACGAGGTACCGCTTTTTAATTTTGACGAGCTGGCAAAAGCTACCAACAATTTTAACACAACCCACGTACTTGGTCAAGGAGGCTTTGGTTTAGTATATAAGGTAAGTTTAGTTTTATGTAGTCTTAACTTTCATAATTTCTTGTAAATAAAATAATGCAAAATTTTGTTTCTTGTAATTGTCTACTAGGGACAGTTGAAAGGTGGACAAGAAATAGCAGTAAAAAGACTTTCAAAAACATCTGGGCAAGGGTTAGAAGAATGTATGAACGAGGTATTAGTGATTTCAAAGCTTCAACATCGCAATCTTGTGAGACTTCTTGGCTGCTGTATTCAACATGAGGAAAATATGTTGATATATGAGTACATGCCTAACAAGAGTTTGGACGTAATACTATTTGGTTAGTTCAAGCTTCATTGTTGTCTATGCTGATAACAGTATCATAAACAATTGAGTCATTTAATTTTACAAACTTGGTTATTCATTTCAATAAGGATTGTTTTCATTTCACTTTTGGTTTCTTCTACAGATCCAGTAAGAAAAAGGGATCTAGATTGGCCAAAACGCTTCAATATAATTGAAGGAATCTCCCGAGGTTTGCTTTATCTCCACAGAGATTCTAGACTAAAAATTATACATAGAGATTTAAAGCTTAGTAACATCTTGTTGGATGGAGAGCTAAATCCAAAAATATCAGACTTTGGTCTGGCTAGAATCTTTGGAGGCAATGATATACAAGCTAATACTAAAAGGATTGTTGGAACGTTGTAAGTATCCCTTCTATATCAAGTTTATACCTTTATAACAAGATGAAAGTGAGTTAATCATATATGGCTTAAATGCAGCGGCTATATCCCTCCAGAATATGCATTTCGAGGATTGTTTTCAGAGAAATCTGATGTTTTTAGCTTTGGAGTCTTGTTGCTGGAGATTATTAGTGGGAGAAAAATCAGTAGCTATTATGATAATGACCACTCATTGAGTCTCTTAGGATTCGTAAGCCCTTCTAAATTATTTGTTTTGTTTTGAAAAAAACACGATCACCTATTGCTGATAACCATGAAAATGGCTAGTTGTTTAACTGTTATAAATTGATTCTTGTTTTGGTTTCAGGCTTGGAAATTATGGAATGAAAAGAACATCTCATCTCTGATAGACCCAGAGATATGCAATCCAAATAATGTGAATGACATAGTGAGATGCATGCACATTGGGCTTCTGTGTTTGCAAGAGCTTGCAAAAGAGAGGCCAACTGTGGCTATAGTAGTTTCAATGCTTAATAGCGAGATCGTTAATCTTCCTCCCCCATCCCACCCCCCATTCATCGAAAAGCAAATTATATGGTGTGCAGAGTCATCTCAGCAGAATCTCAGAACGTCCTCCATCAACAATGTTACTGTCACAGACATGCAAGGAAGGTAGAAAACAAATGTTGAAAAAACTGTTTGAATATACCCCAGATGATCTTTAAGTTATAAAATCTGTATATGGTCAAGGTCCTGCACTGAAAATTGTATTTACAAACTATAGACTTGATTTTTGGCTTGTCCTAGCAAACTTAAAAGGGACAACAGCAGTTTGAATTTGGTTTTAACTTAAGCTATATGTTTGGTTGAATTTTAATATTAAAGTTTGTTCTCTTATAATATAGTCGATTATATGTCATCAAATTCCAAAAACAAGGGCAAGGTTTTATTCTACGACTTATATGTTGTAGAAGTGAATGCGGGGGTTAGATTTTGCATTATAGTATTTTTTGTAGGGGGTATTTCTTTGCCTATTCCGTGGAGCAACTGTACTGCAAATTTTGCACTATAAATTGTAATTATCATTTTGCACCTGGAAGCTGAAGAAGTTTCTGCAATTAATCTAACTTCACTACAATACAAATTTTTAGTTAGTGTAAAGTTGCTGAGATTAACTAGTTTTTGGGTCCATAATGTGTTATTGTTTCTTTTCGGGTTGATCAACGGCAGTGATGTTTATTGGGTCAACAACGGCATTGTTTTCGAACGTACCATGCAGGCGTTAGAGAGTTCGGCCCATGATCATTTTGTTAAACCACTATTTTTTGGGCCCTGCATGTCTATGTTCAAGTCAATACATTTCCTTTTACACACTCATTTTCACTTCTACCCTTTGTAGTTTGCTTGCAATGATGTCATGTGTCACATTCAGCTATGCACATTTGCACAATGCAGTCTAACCCAAGTCAACAACTGCGGCCTCTTAAGCGTGTTATTCTGAACACATTTCTAATTATTTTAAAATGGTATTCAGAATCAGCATTCTAGAATTTGCATTGTTACTCTTTAGTGCGTCTCCGTCAATGTGTAGGAAACTTCCTGCTGGCATAATTATCAAGTCAAAGATAATGAACTAAATAAAAAGATTCTTAAATAACACTCTTATGTGATTATTTAGTGAATAAAAACTCGGATTAGTCCTTCTTAAATAAAAATTATTGAATGCAACAAATGAATAGACTTGACTTGTCCTATTGTTTAAGGTGGAGCTGACTTTACCATCCACGTTTTCGACTTTTAAGGTATGGCCAAGCTGGCCGTCGGAAAAATAACACCGTCGAAGCAAGCAAACTAGCCTTTCGTACGCTGAATGGGAACACTGAGAGTCAACTAAATACCAGTGAGAGTAAAGAAAGTGCACCATTACACAAGCGTAATTTCGGGATAATTACAATGTTTGCAAATATAAGTAATTACATACTTAAAATATATTCAAATAATTTAAAGTCCTTGTTAAAATATTTTTTATTAATAAAAAATTGAGTATTTATGAAAAATAAAAAATTTATAAACGTTATAAAATAACCTTAATTTAAATTTTAAAATAAAATTAACAAAAATATAAATAAAAGGTAAAAATCATTAAAATAAAAAAAATTACATATTATTTTTAACTTAAAAATATACACATCACAATTGATAAAGCTTTCACTTCCAGTTTTTATGCAAGTAATGCTTGTAATAGTAATAGAATATGTTTACCTAACTAGTTGAGCTCTCTAGTGGACAGCTCAAAACAACAAAAACTCCGACAGGAATTTTGATTGAGTCACTGGACAAACCTCGTTAACAAGTGGACATAGCACACCTCAAGAAGACATCATCCTCGACAAATACTAAATTCACGGTTCTGCTCACAAAGTGTTCACAAATATTATCTATTATGGGATTCCCAAGTCACACTAGCTTGGTAAATGCTTTCTTGCTCGTATTTTCCATCGTTTTCCTGGGTTTGACCTTAGCCAGTGATACCATCACATCTTCTCAATCCATAAGAGACTCAGAGACAATAACCTCAAGTGACAGTGTCTTCAAACTTGGTTTTTTCAGCCCTGAGAATTCAACACACCGCTACGTTGGAATCTGGTATCTCTCTGACTCCAACGTCATATGGATAGCTAACAGAAACCAACCACTCCTAGATTCTTCAGGGGTTTTGAAAATATCTAAGGATGGAAATGTTGTGGTACTTGATGGGAAACACCAAGTTATTTGGTCGTCAAATGCGTCAAACACTTCAACACCAACCAATTCAACTGCTCAACTTTTACGTTCTGGGAATCTCGTGCTGCTAGATGACCGTACTGGACAAACAATATGGGAGAGTTTCAAACATCCTGCTGATGCAGCAGTGCCAACAATGAGGATCAGTGCTAACAGAATCACAGGTGAGAAAATAAGGTTTATATCAAGGAAAAGTGCTTCTGATCCTTCAACTGGCTACTTCTCGGCTACCCTTGAACGTTTGGATGCTCCAGAAGTATTTTTATGGATTAATGAAACTCGCCCTTATTGGAGAACTGGTCCATGGAATGGTAGGATCTTTATTGGGACACCATTAATGTCAACTGGGTATCTATATGGATGGAATGTAGGATATGAAGGGAATGAAACTGTTTATCTAACTTACAGTTTTGCTGATCCATCTGCGTTTGGAATCCTTACGTTGAATGAACAAGGAAAGATTAAACTGGAGAGATATTATAATGGAAAGCATGTGTTGACTCTGGTGTTGCAGAATTCTGATTGTGATGTTTATGGCACGTGTGGGGCATTTGGAAGCTGTAATGTGCAAAATTCACCAATCTGTAGCTGTTTGAGTGGATATGAGCCAAGGAATCCAGAGGAGTGGAGTAGGAAAAATTGGACTAGTGGATGTGTGATAAAGAAGCCACTCAAGTGTGAGAGGTTGAAAAATGGAAGTGCAGATGGCCAAGAAGATCAATTTTTGAAACTTGCATCCATGAAAGTTCCAGACTTTGCTGATAGGTTAGATGTTGAGGAAGGTCAATGTGGAATCCAGTGCTTGAAGAATTGCTCTTGTTTGGCATATGCATATGACGCTGGCATTGGTTGCTTGTATTGGAGTGGACACTTAATTGACTTACAACAATTCTCTAGCGGAGGAGTTGATCTCCACATCCGTCTTGCCCATTCAGAATTTCAATCCAGTATGTGTGGTTTTATTGCTTTATGTTTATGTTTAACCTTATTAAGATCTACTCTTCCAATTTATTTTTTTTTGAGCCTGATACTGGATCAATTTTCTTTCAAATTTTATTAGGTATTGCACAAAATCATACGAGTAAAAGAAGAGACAAGAAATTAGTCATTGGAATAGTTACAATGGCAATTGGAATGATTGTCTTGGCCATATGTGCATATGTAACCATTCGAAGATATCACCTCCGGAAGAAAACTGCTAAACATTATCCAGGTAATCAAGCCGTAATATAATTTGGCACTTATATTTGAGCAGAACAATTAGTCCTTATTTTCATCATATATGATTCTTTTAACCTTGATGCCAAACAATTTATAACATCATTATATTCTGAAGCTTCAAGATTACATAATTTCTAGGTTGAACAAAATTTAAAGTATCCCTTGGTTATCTGAATGCAATATGATTACCGATTAAGCATGACATTTTCTGTTGGAAAGAAATTATCTGATTAATCTAACTTAATAGGAAGTAGTCAGATAAATGTTACCCTCTACTCGTTTAATAAAGCTTATGGCAGCAATAACATACAAGAATTAAGAAATGGTTTCTCTACCTGAGATTTTTTTAAAATATTTCTTATAAATTAGAGAAGGGAAGATCATTTTAAAAAAGTTGATTCATTTGGAACTTGTCCAGAAAGTCGGAGTCAAAGAGTGAGTGAGGTCCAGAAACAAGTTAAACTGGATGAGCTACCGCTATTTGATTTTGAAGTTGTTGCAAATGCTACAAACTACTTTCACTTAGCCAATAAGCTTGGAAAGGGCGGTTTTGGTCCAGTGTACAAGGTAAGGAAATATTTTGCACTAGTGACATTCATATCACATTTATACTACTGCTAATTTGATTTTGTTTAACTTCTACTAGGGATTATTGCCAGATGGTCAGGAAATTGCAGTGAAAAGACTCTCCAAAGCATCTGGACAAGGGCTAGAGGAATTCATGAATGAGGTGGTCGTGATTTCTAAGCTTCAACATCGCAATCTTGTTAAACTTCTTGGCTGCTGTATAGAAGGAGATGAAAAGATGTTGATCTATGAGTTCATGCCAAATAAAAGCTTGGATGCATTTATCTTTGGTTAGTTTTATACATCTAAATACTTCACCTTCTAAACATTCTGGTCACTTGATTAGTAAAATGTAATATAAACAATTAATTTTTATTCCAATTCATTTAGCTTCCTATAAGCATATTGTTTTAGCTAAATTTCCGTTTCATTTTCTTTTCTTGGCAGATCCACTCCAGCGGAATCTTCTAGGCTGGACAAAACGTTTTAATATAATTGAAGGAATTGCTCGGGGTATACTTTACCTTCATAGAGATTCTAGATTAAAAATTATACATAGAGATTTGAAGGCAAGCAATATCTTGCTGGATGCGGAGATGAATCCAAAAATATCAGACTTTGGTTTGGCTAGAATATATAAAGGTGAAGATGAAATTAATACCAAAAGGGTTGTTGGCACATAGTAAGTATGCCTTATTACACTTAAAATTATTAGCATTTTGTCTGCTTTGAAAAGTAACATTTTTAATGTGATCTAAACAAATACAGTGGCTACATGTCCCCTGAATATGCAATGGAAGGACTATTTTCTGAGAAATCAGATGTTTATAGCTTTGGAGTTTTGTTACTAGAAATTATTAGCGGGAAAAGAAACACTAGCTTTCGTAATGATGAACAATCTCTCAGCCTCATAGGATTTGTAAGTTTTTTTCCCTCCACAGCCTTCATATTTACCTAGATTGCTTACTACTAATTCTATTACACTACATATTCTATGTTTCTCTTACTTAGGCGTGGAATCTATGGAACGAAGACAACATTAGGTCCTTAATAGATCCAGAGATATTAGCTTCACACTCTGAGGATCAAATTTTGAGGTGCATCCACATAGCATTTCTATGTGTGCAAGAAGTTGCAAAAACAAGACCAACTATGACTACTGTAGTATCTATGCTTAATAGTGAGATTTCCCGTCTTCCTCCTCCTAAGCAAGTTGCATTCGTTCAGAAGCAGTATTCATCAAGTTTAGAGTCTTCTTCTCAGGAAAATCAGGGTAATTCCAACAACAATGTAACTCTTACTGAGATCCAAGGCAGATAGCAATATGAAATCGTTATCACTGTAAAAACTGCTGCCGTTCTATATGCTGAAGATATTAAATAGATGATTATTCAATTATACTTGTCTACTAACATAGTCTTATTTTACAGATTAACAGAAAGCTTGAATATGTTAACGATTGCATTTTTATAAGACCAACAGCTAGCAGTAGCATTAAGATAGATTAAGGATATGCTTAATTGAATAAAAGGAGCGGATTGATGGAAATGTTAGAATAAAGATTACTTTACAGTAAATGCTTTTGGAAAGAATAAACAACAGTAAATCAAATTGGCAATAGTGGAAAAATAAAGTAGTCAAAATTGGCAATTCAATTTTAGATGGGAACTCAGAAGTCAAAACTGCTAAATGTGTGAACACTCACTGCCATGATTATATGGAAACTTCCATGTAATTTATTTCCAACTATTGACTATTTGGAAACAATTTTTTTCAATCGAATAATTTGTTGAGTCTCTCTATTCATGTAATGTTGACCGAATTAGAGCATGTTTATTTTCATTTTTAAAAATAAAAAATAATATCTTTTTTCCCCTTTCTATTTTCTCTTTTCTCTATGCTACTTCTATGAGGTCCAATAGAAAGACAGTCATATGAGTGGTTCTCGTCATTTTGAACAGTAGTTTAAACATCAAAGATAAGTATTCACAGTTATTAATTTAACTGTAATTAAACAAGTAACAATTGAAATATATATATATAATATTGAATAATAAAATGATACAAAATTATTGTCAAATAATGATAATAAAACACATATACGTTTAATGACAAATATGATATTTATAATTTCATAAATATTTGATTTAATATTAAATATGTTAGTTATAAAAAAATTATAATAAGGTATACTAAATATTGAAATATATTATTTAACATTAAGTTATAAAATATTTTTATTGATTGTAATATGTGGTTTTATAAAATAAAATAGGTTGAATGGATAATGAAATACTGCTCTAGAAACTGATGCTGTTATGTGATCCATTGTGGATTGAGATTTGAGAATTACCATGTACATATATTTATGGGATCCATCTTAAATAATAATAATAATAAATTATTTACCAACTAGTAGTGCACACATTTTAAGTCATGAAACGCTCATCGTGCATCTTGTTACATGTTTTTCTGACGTTTTCAATCCTTGAATAGAAGTATTGGCATTTCTTTAGATTCCATTTTGGTATCTGAATTCATGAGAGGCGCTTAAACAGTTTCAAGTGACGGGGTATTCACATTGGGATTCTTAAGACTTCAAAACGTGACAAATTGCTTTGTCTGAATCAGCGTGTCTCGTTGTAATGTCAGAAACCAAACCACGAGCTGAATAGATACAAAATGTTTGATACTCAAATATGACAAATGTTAGGCAAGGTGGCTTGTCGTGTTTTGAGCCATATTTCTCATTCTTCGTGTGATTTTGTCCATCTTTTCTGCTGCCTTTGATAAGATTTCTTGTCTCTATGATGCTTTTAAAATTAGAGCTACAATTTTTAAATATGTAGGATTTTACTTTCGTAAAAGCCTTCACTGGTGTACTCCATGGAATTAATTTAGTTATGCATTGAATGGAACGAGTGAAAAGGGGGCAAAAGATTTGGGAATAGAATAAAAATGTATAGATAGAATTGGTTTATTTTTCAAAGTATTATTAGTATTTTAATTTTTTTTACATATACATACAGAAAGTTAAACAATTAAATTACTTGTTTACCAAAAAAAAAAAATCAAATTACTTTATAACTTTTCAAGTAATTAAAGATTGTTAACTGTTAATTTAAAAGTTCTTATTAAATAGTTTATATTATAAAATTTTAATAGAAATAAAATTAATATATATTTTATTACGTTGCTTTATTTTAGCAGATATTATATTTTTAAAATATAAATAAATATTAAATTTTAAATAACATACTTACAAAATGTTTAAATTGTATAAAATTTGATATACATAATCATCAAAAACATATAAGATGATTCAATAATTATATTGATTAATCTTATATTTTATTAAAAAATTTATATATATATAAATTATAAATTATTATATGTAAGTTAGATGAAAGATTTATATTAAATTTAAATTTTTTTTAGTAATTTGACATATATATATATATATAAATAATTAAATTAAATAATTAATTTTTTTTAAAATTTTAAATGCAAATTTTATTTAGTTTTATTTTAAATATTGAATTAAAAATTTTAAGAAGCACATAACACAAAACCTAACTAATATATGTAAAAATTTACTTCTAAGTATTGAATTCAGAAGTGTATTCCACCTCCTTTTTCTCACCCACACTGTTTGAGTCTCCAAGTGTCCAATGTTGATAGAATAAGTGTAGAAAAACGATGCTCACAGGTTAGATTCAGTAACTATTAAAGAAGGTGAAATTACTAATTGAAGCTATTAAAGATGGGTTGGTAAAAGTTGAAACCATTAAAGAAGGTGATGCTGTGGTTGTAAGAATGAGTTATGTGACATATTGGCATAAATTAATATTTTTTAAGCATTTATTAACATCGAAGACTTAATTGTCTAACAAATTGTCATATTCAGGATTAAAAAGTACGACTATTACTACTCGAGGAATCAATTTTTAATTTTACTCATAAAATCTAATTAGCTTTATTCTTTGAGTTATGAGTGCATGTCCTGTAAACATTTGTCCAATCTTAATTTGGTAAATATGCTATGTCATTGGTTCAAATTTTATAAAACAAATTTTTGGATCGAGATCCTATGTAATTTTAATAGAAATTGCAGTTTGTAGTCTAAATTTGTTTAAGTAAATCTTGTTTTGTTAAAATGAATTTGGTAAACAGTAATTTTCTTATAAGTTAAAAAGATTATTTTAAATATATTATTTTAGTATGTTATTTATGCTAATCTTTAGTGAAGCAATGAGATAAAATTATTTAGAATTATATTAAATTATTAAAAATAATGATAAAGATTATATGAATAATGACTTTAAAAAATTAGTTGAGAAACAATTATTGGACTATACGACTTAAACTTTTAAATTTTTGTGGTATGATTATAAAATTTCACCATATGATATTGCATAAATATTTTTTAAATTTTTTATAGTTTAGAAAAAAAATGAAATTTTAAAATTTTTTACAATTTTAGTTTAAAAGAATTTTTTTATTAAAAAAAATAAATTTTTCACTAATATCTTTAAGTAAATTTATGTATTTTTTATTTAAATAAATTTAAACTGTAGACTTTAATTCTCGCTAAAATTGTAGAAGATTTAATCCCAAATTTTTGCAATGCTTTTTCTAGGGTCGTAAATATGAGCCAAAATTAATGGATCCAGTAATTTTATCTTGCTAATAATCATGGGTTAGACGTGAAATATTTCATTTAGGCTTTACTTTTGTTTAACCTAGTTCAATTTAAATTTTGACCAGTTCAATGTCGATGGGTCTACATTGAGTTAACTCGATGGTCTATTTTCTCTTTTAATAATAATTGAACTGATTATTTTAACTTCAACTTGGTTTATTAAATTTGTTGGATTTTGAGTTTAATAAATTTAGGTTAGACCATCATTGTAGATTAATTAATTTCTAATTCATATTTAACAAACTAAAAATGCAAAGATTTTTTTGGCCTAGAAAAATAAATTAAAAAAAAGTAGACGAATGGTGTTCGTTTTGCTTAAGGCCCACCTAGGATTAAATTAAACTAGTGGTTTTTCAGTTCATAGTTAAATTAGCTTAGCTTAATATTTCACTCGTTAAACTTGAGATCATAAAGTATCAAGGACTGTTGTAGAGTAATAAGATCATTTCGTTAGTTTGTTAAATATGAATTGAATTTGAAATAACCATTTGGGGACGTACTATTTGAAATAACATGTTAATAAAACGAAAATTCTTGAGTACAAATTAGCATTTTCCTAAAAAGATGTATGCATACATTTTTTGGTGCTTAGCCTGGGTAAGCAAGGAAGGCATCATCTACTCTCGTGGTGGCTTGAGCTGGAACCATACGAAACCAAACCTTTACTACCGAGTTAGTAACTAAGAAGAATAAAGCCCCCAATTAGAGTCAAAGGGATCCTCTCACATTAGGGTATCATATTCCAATTTTGCTTGAGGTTTTTAATTAAAACAATTAATCAAAAGAGATGCTTATAATAAATTTGATTGCTATATAAGTTTTTTTTAAAATAATTTTATATCTTTTCAGCATTTAAAGATAATAACTTCAAAAAATACTATCTTGTTTTTAGTTGAAGCAAATGGATTCTGAAATGTGTATATAGATTACATGCCGGTTCGAATGCAAAGGCATTAGGCCTATCATGTTGTACAGGCAAATAGTACCAACAAAATTATTGGGCTCCTTTATATATGCAGAGACCGAGATCCAGAAAACCCTTCATTGCTGACTTAAAAAAGAAAACACTAAAGAATACTTCGTATTCCTTATACATAATTTTGGAATTTTTATTAAAATATATATTTAAGTTATTATACAAATATTTTATTACATTTTAATACTTATCGTTATAATAATTTTAAAAATATGCAAGTAAATCATTTTTATTAACGATGTTATAATAACAAAATAAAATATAATAAAATACTTAGATAAATATTAAAATGTAAATTTTTTTAAATATAATAATTAATTTAGAAATAAGTGTTAAATCATAGAAATTTAGCGTATAATTTTTAAAACAAAATTATCATCAATCATGCTCCCTAGCAGTTATAAAAAAAGATATAGATATTTGTTTATATAATTTTTCTTGTGAATAATAATTTTTTGGAAAATATTGTGAATGAAAGTGTATTAAAAAATCTTTATGATGAAAGGGGTTAAAAATCAACCTTGTAATATTTGACGGGGGAAAGAAGTGTGTCCAATCTTTGTTACAGTTATAGCTTAATAACTTTAGTGTAACACGTAATGGTCCATTAACAATAAAACTATCTAATTCAAACATTCATTTGTAACCAAATTGAATAAGAAAAAAATGATACAGAACAAGAGTTAGGAAAATATGCTTATGAGTCACAACTGAGGGAGGAGATTAGGCCATGCCACAGTGTGTTTCTATGCACCAAAATCGTAAAATGGTGCATGCTAGAGGCCATGCACCATGGTGTATATTACTCCTTTCCCCAGCCATTTGAATATATTTATATAAACGACACTTTATACCGACAGCTATATTACTTGCAATAGCATGTTACTACATGAAACGTGACACTTAAATCTCAAGAAAAGAACAATATCGCGGGCCTAAGAATCCCATAGATGTCTTGAGTTTCATGCACGAAATTCTGAAAGCGAAAAAGTGCTAATAATTAAAAAAGGGGTTTCAAAGGTAGGTTGAATGTTATCCTAATTGTAGATGGGTTCACTAATATATAAACATCATTAGTTTTGCTTCTTGAATCAAACTCCACATGCCCTGAATTTCGTGTCGTAGCACAACCCTGAAACCTTTTGAAATGGCTCAACCTCCACAATCGCAGGCTCAAGCAGCCAAGCCAAAAGGCTCAAACATGCTCCGTTACATTGCCATGATAGTTCTGGCCTTAATTATCCTTGTGGGTATAGCAGTGCTCATAATTTGGCTTGTTTTGAAGCCCAAACGCTTGGAGTACAGTGTGGAGAATGCAGCAATCCACAACTTCAACTTAACGGACACAAATCACCTTTATGCCAACTTTGATTTGACCATAAGATCATACAATCCAAATTCTAAAGTGTCTCTCTACTATGACTCAATGGAAGTGTCGGTGCGTTATGAGGACCAAACGCTAGCCACCAATGCAGTTCAGCCATTCTTTCAGTCACATAAAAACGTGACAAGGTTGCGCGTGGGGCTCACTGCTCAAACCGTGGCCTTGTATGACTCAGCGCCTAAGGACCTTCGGGTTGAGAGGAGCGGAGGGGACGTTGACTTTGATGTGAAGGTGAGAGCAAGGATACGCTTTAAGGTTGGCGCGTGGAAGTCAAAGCATCGCGTTTTGAACATTTTTTGTTCTCCCGTGTCCATCAAATTTTCCAGAGCCAAGAGTTTCGAAAGGACCCCCTGTGAAGTAGAACTCTGAACATGTTCCCTCTTCCCTTCTCAATATTAATATTATTGTTTGTTCTTTTTTTAGTTTTCTAATTTTTATCTTAATTTGTGTTTTGATTCTTTGGTTCGTTATTGTAATTTTCCTCCTGGGTTTTTTTTGGTTTTGGTTATGTTAACAAGTAGTTGTGTGTGGACGTACGAAAGTAGGCATTGAGTTGCACTTTTTTTCATTGCTTTAATGCATTGTGACCAGATTGTTTTGGAATTCATTGTTTGTAATGATAGGTGGGTCAACTTGTAGAATCACAGATTCCTAATTCAGAATTTCTTAACTTTTTTTAATTAAAACAGAAAATACTAGCAAAAATAATGTTTCAATTGGCATATAGTATCTCAATTACTTATTTTTAAAAAAGTACGAGTCATACTTATAATGAGCGGTTTACTACTTTTATGAAAATAAATGTAAAGAGACATGGCATAAAATGAGAAAGAGTGTAAATCACAAAATAGAAAATATAAGAGCAAGAAAACAAGTGAATAATTACATAACATTGAATATTTCTCTTACGAAGGTATAGACAGGGTGCCTTAGAGACGTGAAAAACAAAAAATTGAAACAAAAGTAGAAAGAACTAATTGACTTACTGAAATATAACTAACTTAGCTAACTAATTATAATTTACAAATGGTAACACTCCTCCCCTAAAGCTGAAAGGTGGAAGCTTGAAAATGAAATGCTAATAAGAACAAGGGATAAGGGGCTTAGTAAGGATGTTTGCACCTGATCCTTTGATGAAATTGGCAAAAGATGCAAAAGATCTTACCAAACCTGTTATCTGACCAAGTGACAATCTAACTTAATGTAATTTGTTCTTTCATGGAACATTGGATTAGCTGGTATGTGTAGGACTGATTAATCACAAACAAAACTAAAGGTTTGGACTGAGCGATTCCAAAATCTTGTAGTAAATAGACCAACCACTGAGCTTCACAAGTAGTTGTAGCCATGACTTTATATTCTACCTTAGAAGACGATCTAGAGATGGTTGCACGTTTTTTACATTTCCATGAATCTCCTTGTGTCTAAGCAAGCTACCAAATCTGAATTAGTGAAATTTGTTAAACAAAAATATGAAGTTGTTGGAAAAATAGACCCTTAGCTTGTCTGCCTTTAATATATCTCAGGATGTGAAGGGTTGTGCGGTAATGAACCATTTTGGAAAAATCAAGATACTAACTTAGTTTGCTAACAACAAAACTAATGTCAGACCTTGTATTGGTCAAATATATCAACCTTTCCAATAACCTCTTGTAACTAGTAGCATCTTCACAAGGAGAACTAGAATCCTTTTGGATCTTAAGGGCATGATCCATGAGGTGGAACAAGGTTTTGAAGCTAATAAGCATGTGTAGTGGAGCAAATTAATTGTATATTTTCTATAATGCAAATGCCTTTAGCTGATCTGGCAAATTTAAAACTAAAAAAATATTAAGATTTCCAAGGTCTTTAATGCCAAATTTACAATGGAGCAAATGCTTAATGTTATTGATTTTTGTAACATCAGTCCCTGCAATTACTAGATCATCAACATAAGTTAAGATTGTTGTGAAACCTTGAGTTGTTTTTCTAGTGAAAAGAGAGTAGTCTGATTTGGACTAAGTGTATCTAGAAGCACTGATGGTTTTAGAAAGCCTCAAATTCTATTGTTTGTTGGCTTGTTTCAATCTATATAATGAATTAGTAAGTTTGCACATAAAGTTTGGATTAGAAATAGAAAGATTACTAGATGGTTACGTATAAATTTCTTCAGTTAAATCTCCATAGAAAAAAGTTGTATTCACATCAAGCTGTTATAAATGCTAATAATGAGCAGGCTAAAGATAGGAGGACTCGAATTGTTGTCATCTTCACAATTGGATTGAAAGTGTTCAAAAAATCAATATCTATTGTTTGAGTGTACTTTCTTGTCACTAATTTGACTTTATGTCTTTTTAAACTACCATCTGGTTGTCTTTTTTCTTTAAAGATCCTTTGTACTTAATCGTCTTTTTTCCTTCAAGAAGGTAAGTGAGTGTCCAAGTTTAGTATTTATCCAAAACATTTAGTTCTTCCTTAATGGCATTCCTCCAACAATCATTTAGTATAGCTTCTTAATGTGTTTAAGCTTCAAAAGCAAAAGAGATAGCCAAAGAATAGTGTTTGTGAGGTGGAGACAAGGAAACATAAGAGAGGATTTGAGAAATAGGATACCTGACAGTATGAGGTGATGATGAGACAAATAAAGTTGTCAATGTTCAATTGTAATATTTTAAGGAGGTAGGAGGTCGTCTTTCTCTCTTAGAACAACTTGTGGTATTTGAGCATTAGTTGTTTGTCTTAATGAATTATTTATGTTAATTGGTTTTTAAAATAGGCTGGGCAAGAATTTGTGGCTCAAAAGCCACTTGATATTCATTTATTAGTTAAAGAAAATAATCAAATGTGACGAGTAATTGAAAAGCGATTGGAGTAGAGATGTTTGATGTATCCTTTAACTCCAATTTTATAACCCAGAAACACACTTCCTCCATCTAGCATCTAATTTTGTTCTATGTGTTGTTAAGGTTGTAGCAAAACATAAGCAACCAAATACATGTTAGGTAATTTTTTGTGAAAATTTTGATATAGAGATTAGTTAGAAAGAATGGAAGAGGGTATTCTATTATTGATATGGATAACATGACATACAATGTGTTTTCAAAAACACTTTAGAAGCTCGTATCGAAACAAAATAAATTAAGTTACTTCTAAGATATTATGATATTTTTTTCTTAATCAGACTATTTTGTTGTGGTGTTTTTACACAACTTCCTTGATGCACAATGCCTTTAGAAATATATAAATCTACTAAATTGAATTCAGGTCCATTGTTAATTTTTACAATTTTAATTTTCTTATTGAATTTTGTTTTAATTAGGGATAAAAAATCTTTAACTAGACTTTTAGTTTTCAATTTCAATTTCATTAGGTAAACCTATGTAAACATTGTAGTGTGTTCAATAATGGTAATAAAATATTGATGGATATACATTGAAGGGGTAGTAATTGGACCCAAAATGTCAAGATGAATGAGTTAAAAATACTTGAATAATTGGAACAATTATTAGTAAAAAGGCATTTTTTTTTGTTTAAACAAGTGACAAATTTTACATGATTCTGTAGTTTTATTACAATTAATGGAGAGATATAATTTTTCATAATAAACAATAAATTTGTGTATTAGATGTGAAGTAGAGCTTTCCAAAAAAGAGAGTCTAGGTTTTTTTACAACAATAAATTAAAAAAAAGAAAAATTATATAAATGTCCTGTCATAAAAAGAATTACATAAATGTTCTGATATCAATATTAAAGAAGACGATTGAAATAGATTTTTTTTAAAATAGAAATTATTTTGAATCGACTTTAGTTGCAGATCAATTCGCAACATTTATAGCTGAATAGAAGTCGATTGAAACCGTTTTTGTTGGTACATGGAAGTCGATTTAAATCGACTTTGATTCAAGCTTACTGTGTCACTTTTTAGTTCAATAAAAAGCTCTATTATATAAGTTTCAGCAAATGAGTTAAAATAAATAAATATGTGATCAATATGTTTATTTTTCTAAATTTGCCATATTTTATATCAAATACCATTTAACCCAATGTCAACTGGCTTACTGTAGAATATTTTTGAGACTTGTATATTTTTTCTCTCATACTCCTCCAGTATTTGGCTCTATAACTGTAGCAAAGTAATTAGTTGACAGACAACCAACTAAGCTTGGTTTTCGCTACAAAAACACTCTTTTTTTATTGTGTTTACAATCTCACTATTATAATATATAAGCACATGAACATTATTCTATGTCATTTTACTAAAATTTTCACACTTAATCTATTGAATTTTCAAAGAAATTAATGCAAAGTCAAGAAGTTATATGTTTATTTGTAGGAAACGAGAAAAAAAATGAGTACTGAAATTTATTTGAATCAATTTTTATATTCTATATTAAGCTGAAATATACTTGAATCGACTTCTGTATTAAACTAAAATTTACTTAAATCAACTTCTTTTTTAAACAAAAATGTAATAATTTAGTAAAAATCAATTTAAATCTACTTCTGTACAGAAATAAAATCAATCTTACATAAGTCACTTGTAGTCGACTTCTTTACAAATATTAATTGAAAGTCGATTCAAATCAACTTCTTTTCTAGTACTATTCAAAATTTTAATTAAAGTCGATTAAAGTCAACTTCAATTATTATATTTTCATTACACAATTGTAAACTTTGTTAAAAGAGGATATTTATGTAATAAATTTTTTAACTTTTTTTATTTATGTAAAAAACACCCTAATACCATGTAAAAAATATCCGGTGAAATAAGAAAGGGCGTAAATCTCAAAATGAGAAATGTTACAACAAGAAAGATGAATTAACTGATTATGATTTCATGTCAGATTACAATAATGGGTCATCTGGTCATTAATTTTGGTTGAATTTTAACATTACAATGACTCAATCCGTAGGTCATCAAATTCCAAATTTTTTGCTTGAATTAACCGGTCTATCCAAATCGACCAATATTTTTTAATGAACAAAGTTAGGTTGGTCGGATTGATCGAGTTTTGTTGACACATGTTGAAAATGTTGTTTCTGACGCAAGTGACGATATATGATTCACATTTCTATGAACAAATGAAATGAGCCCCCTGAGTAGCTGCCATTATTTCTTATGAAAATTGACAGTGTTGATCTCAACTCTAGCAAATTATGTTTCGTCATCAAACGTAAAACTCATTTTAGAACTAGACTAGAAGAAAATGCCACATTTGTGTATATTCTGAATCGGTACTTCGGTGATGCAACCGTTTTCTATATTCTGGATGCCTTGTGCTCCTGCCGAGAAATTAATGCAGGTGCCATAGGGCGCATACCTTACAAATAAAGAGTATATTAAATGAGTTGAACTAATTATTTAAGGTAAACATTAATGAGTATTCCTAAATGTATTAATTAATAAATAGTTTTTGTAATAAATTTATGTCAGAATACTAAAGTAAGCTTTTTTAATAAATATTTTAAGGGTATTGGTTGGTAAAAAAATTTATTTAAATAAATTCAGATTATTTATTGTGTTTTTGTTTTGGTACAAAACTTAATTTTTTATCTTAAGAAGAGAAAAAATCATGTGGTAGAATCACATCACAGCCAACAAAAGCACAGTACCTGGATGGTGGAAATCGGACGTAGAAAAATGGTGAAACAAAATGCCTGACATTAAAAATTGTTAATCGTTAGTTGAAGTGTTTTAAATGTACTGTTTAAGACTCATTAGAAAAATTAACTATAGCATCATATCATATGTGATAGACTGGTAGTACGAAATTTGAAAATTTGGAGCAATAAAAGTGAAAAAGATGTGCGATAGATAATGTGTATAAGCTGGTAAGCGGAAGCTTCCTACGGTGGGTTCTTCTCTCGGGCCGCAGTGGAAGGCATTAAGTCAATGATTAGTCATAATAATAGCAGTTAATGCGGTGCCTTTTTCTTAATTATATTATTCTTCCGCAACGCAAAACAAAACAAAAACCAAGTGTTTACATAGGAGCTTGAGTATGACGTTGCGTTCCATTTTCAACTCATTCTCCAATCTCGGAGCCGTGTCTTCAACAACCACAACACAAACGTGTCTTCTTAGAATCAAACGGAATCGTCTACTCCTCGCCCCCCCTTCACTGCCACCTAAATTCTTCTGGTCAAATAAATACGATTCCACCTTCTTTCTCTTTTTTCTCATTTCGAAATGGCCATTTTCACTGTCACACCCCAAAACCAAAACTAAAACTAAAACAATCCTCTTCTTCCTTTATGGCCTCCATGATGATCACCACATACCAACGCATAGCCTTTGTGTTTTTCTTCTCCTTCCTCTGTTTCTACAACCTGTTTTCCCGTGCTGCAAGCTCCAGAATTAGGATCACACGGGGTGACATGATTAGAGACAGAGAGGGTGAAACGTTGGTATCAGAAAGTGTCAACTTCGTGATGGGTTTCTTCAGTTTGGATAACTCCTCTTCCCGTTACGTTGGGATTTGGTACTACGACATTCCTGGACCTGCTGTTATATGGGTTGCAAACAGAGACAACCCCATCAAAGACACTGCAGGCTCCATCACTGTTGCAAGGGATGGCAATTTGGTTGTTCTTGATGGAGGGATGAACCAAGTTTGGTCGAGCAATGTTTCCATTCAGAACAGCAATAACTCAGAAGCAGTGCTTCATGATGATGGCAATCTTGTTCTTTCAAGTGCTAAGAAAGAGGTGTGGCAAAGCTTTGAGAACCCAAGTGATACATATGTGCCTGGTATGAAAGTGCCAGTGGGTGTTCCGATGGGGAAGAGCTATGTGTTCACGTCATGGAAATCAGCAACGGATCCTTCACCTGGGAATTACACTATGGGGGTTGATCCTGAGGGGTTACCCCAGATAGTGGTGTGGGAGGGACAGAAAAGGAGATGGAGAAGTGGATACTGGGATGGTAGAATATTTCAAGGAGTGTATATGACAGGAGGTTTGCTCTATGGTTTTACACTTAATGGAGATGGTAGAGGAGGAAGGTACTTTATATACAACCCCTTGAATGGCACTGATAAGGTGAGGTTTCAAGTGGGGTGGGATGGGTATGAAAGGGAATTCAGGTGGAATGAGGCTGAGAAACATTGGAGTGAGATTCAGAAAGGGCCTTTGAATGATTGTGAGGTTTATAACAAGTGTGGCAGTTTTGGAGCTTGTGATTTGTCCACTTCGGGTTCACCTGTTTGTAGCTGTATAAGAGGGTTTGAGCCAAAGCATAGGGATGAGTGGGATAAGGGGAATTCGTCTGGTGGGTGTGAGAGGATCACTCCACTCAAGGCTCAGAGGAATGCTACTTCTGGGACTGAGGTTAGTGTTGGAGAAGATGGTTTCTTTGATCGTAGGTCTATGAAGTTGCCCGACTTTGCACGTGTGATTAGCACGGATGATTGTGAGAGTGATTGTTTGAAGAATGCTTCTTGCACTGCCTATGCAAATGTTCTTGGGATTGGGTGCATGGTTTGGTATGGGGAGTTGGTCGATATTCAACACTTTGAAAATGGAGGAAATACACTGCACATTCGTCTCGCTGATTCTGAGTTAGGTGAGGTAAAGAGTCCATTTATTTTTGTTTCCATAAATAACATTTTCAATTTTGATTTACATTTGCCGGTATTATTTCCTATGTATGGTTCTTGAGATATTGCTTCAACTGGTTTCACCTCACTGTAAGACTATTAATGTCTTGGTATATATAAATTGCTGCTTCCTCTTTTTCTCAAGAACTTTTTTTTTTGTTGCATCCCTGAACAGGTGAAATTAGTGGGAACGTGCAGAAAACTTGTGTTTAGTCATCATATTGATATCTTGCTTCTAACATTGTAAATCAATGTACCATAAAAGAAGTTCATAAAAAGACAAATCTTTGAAAATGCATAGAACTGATAACTGTACCTTTTCTTGTCATGTTTGAACTTATCTTTCAGCTAATGCCATCTCAAGTTCTCAATCTTCAAAATTTATTGATGTTTTTTTGTCTATGAAGATAATTAGAAGGAAATAATTTTTTAATCTCTCAGAAGTTCACAAGCTTCTATGATGGTCAGGTTCTAATAACATGTGACTTCTGTGTCTTCAAATATAGGTGATGGAAGAAGAAAGAACAGGATTGTGATCATATCAGCTGTTGTGGCAGGATTAATCTGCCTTGGAATCTTTGTATGGCTGGTATGGAGGTTCAAGGGAAAACTTCAAGGTGAAATATTCATCTCTTCATCTCAGATGATTGACAGAGGGTATAAAATGCTGTTTCTGATATTATGTATATTTCTCAATTTCTTTCCAGTTTTGCCTACAGTTTCCTCAGCTTCATGCTGCAAGAATAGTGATGTACTGCCAGTCTTTGATGCAAGCAAGAGCAGAGACATGTCAGCAGAATTTTCAGGATCCGCTGATCTTAGTTTGGAGGGGAACCAACTAAGTGGACCAGAGTTTCCACTTTTCAATTTTAGTTGCATTTCAATTGCCACAGACAATTTCTCAGAAGAAAATAAGCTCGGGCAAGGGGGCTTTGGTCCTGTCTACAAGGTAAAAATGCTTCCTTTTATTCCCATCTTTCATTTAAAATGTAATAAAATTATTTGTTCCATTTCCCAGGGAAAGCTTCCAAGTGGAGAACAAATAGCTGTTAAGAGGCTTTCAAGACGGTCTGGCCAAGGGTTAGAAGAGTTCAAGAATGAAATGATGCTGATAGCCAAACTACAACACAGAAATCTGGTTAGACTAATGGGTTGTTCTATTCAAGGGGACGAGAAGTTGCTGGTATATGAATACATGCCCAACAAAAGCTTGGATTGCTTTTTATTTGGTGTGTTTCTTGACATTGATCCTATCCATTTCTTTCTGCTTTCTTGACCAGCATGAAAAGAGATTATTAGTGCATTTTCTTAACAATTTTGCACTTTCTGTTTAACATCATGACAGATCCAGTCAAACAAACACAACTAGACTGGAACAGACGCATTGAAATCATTGAAGGCATTGCGAGAGGATTGCTTTATCTGCACCGGGATTCAAGACTCAGAATAATTCACCGAGATTTAAAAGCAAGTAACATTTTGTTGGATGAAAACATGAACCCCAAAATATCAGACTTCGGCTTGGCCAGGATTTTTGGCGGGAACCAGAATGAAGCCAATACAAATCGAGTGGTCGGTACATAGTAAGTACGCTTTGATTTTGCTTGTACGTTGTGTCATCCACTTGTAAATTCTTACTTGAACTAGGCTAATCTCAATAAAACTCTACTGCAGCGGTTATATGGCACCTGAATATGCAATGGAAGGTCTGTTTTCAGTGAAATCTGACGTATATAGTTTTGGTATATTACTACTAGAGATTTTGAGTGGCCGAAGAAACACTAGCTTTCGTCAATCAGATGACTCAAGTCTCATAGGATATGTGAGTATCTCCTATAGCACATTAATTTTTTCTATCAATACAACTTGCATAAATGTGTTTTTTGCAGAAACAATTCACCAACATACGATCATATTAGAAATTTTTAGAGACTTGTGATATGTCCTAGAAAGATCCCAATTCTTAGTTTTGCTGATATTATTAGCTTGTTTGATATAACTAGTTTGAAAAATGCCCGAGTTTGAGAGTTATGTCTTTTTCATACCAAGTTTATTGGAGTGCTGAAAGCTAATGTTTTATGATGGAATGGGTGTAGGCTTGGCATCTTTGGAATGAACATAGAGCAATGGAGCTAGTTGATCCTTGCATCCGTGCTTCTAGTCCTAAGAACAAAGCTTTGAGATGCATACACATAGGGATGTTGTGTGTGCAAGATTCAGCAGCTCATAGACCAACCATGTCTTCTGTGGTGTTGATGCTGGAGAGTGAAGCAACAGCTCTTCCCTTGCCTACGCAACCTTTGATTACTTCCATGAGGAGATCTGAGGACAGAGAATTTTATATGGATGGTCTTGATGTTTCAAATGATTTGACAGTCTCAATGGTGGTAGGGAGATGATAGAGATAGTAGATACAATCATTCATTCCCTTTCTGTATCATTTTTGTTTGCACTTCTCTTTCACCCTACAAATCTTACACAAGGCTCATTGTTTTACTTTTCCCCTTGTGGCCCAACTGAAATCAAACTATACCCTTAAGATTGAATACATTGTATATATCAATTTGTATTTTGAGACTTAAGAAATATGCTTTATTCCATGGCAAGTATGAAACTTAGAAAATCTAGTTTCACATCATAAAAAAGAGAAATATCAATTTATATTTTTGGACTTCGGGTGCTATCATGTATGCATGGTAAATAATTATTTTATAAAAAATTCTTGGGAAGCCAAATGACCCACTCCAAACTTATTTCACGAGTCTTCAAAAATAAAGAACTTTGGAGGTTCTGCGTATCGAAGTCAAACTAAATTTTTTCCCTTTAACGCGTGATTTGTCCATTATTTTCAATTTTAATTGCAGGAATTACTTTTAGTATATAAGTAATTTTTTAGTCATTTCATATATTTAGGTATGTTTCGGGAGGTAAATGTGAGATTTTAAATTAAAACTTATATTAAAATGTACGATTTTAATATAAATCACTGAGCTTGGGGTCATTTTCTTTGAAGAAGCTAACTTTAACGCATGATTAGTCTTGGGTTGAAATTTCCTACTCGTCATGGTCGAGTTTCAACAACTTTTCGTCACGAGGATCTAGAAACATTACAAAATATTTTATCTAGAAACAAAAATATTATTTAATGAATTAGAATCACGTCAACATGTCTACAAACAAACATTATTTAATGAATTTGAATTACGTAAACATAACAATTGGTCATTAGTGAATCATAAATCTGTTGACGGATTTCAGTCGTATTTACTTGCCGACCAAGAACGTGATCGGATATTTACGTTAGAACGAATTTGGATTGTTCCTGTTAATTACGTAACAAGATGTTATCACATTAGAGAGGGATTGGGTTTGTTTATAAATAAGAAATTCTCATAATTAATGATAGAATTAACTTATTACATTTGATAAAATTGTATCTTAATCTTTTTAATGTTGGCATAATTTGCTACTCAATAATAATAATAATAATAGATCCAAATCTAATTAGAATCGAGTGACACGCATTCTGATACTCTATTTATTTAGAAGCATTTTTTATTTTTATTTTTACTTTTACCCAAACATACTTTTGGAGTTAATTCAATTGATAAACAAGCATATTAAAAAATATTTTTATATTTTACACTTAGAAATTCTATTGATTATTAAATAAAAATATTAAACACTTTTTATATTTTCAGATAATATTGATTTAGAAGGGAAAGAGAAGGAAGTTAAACTCTTTTCTTATTTAGATATTTAATATCAAAAAAGGAGGGTAATAAGAGGAGTTTAATTATATAAATAATTTTAAAATTAATATTTTTTTAAAAAAATTTAAAAAAATTATATTTGTAAAATAGTACGAAAAAGTGAACGAGAAAAAACTTTTAGAATAGAAAATTTAAAAAATAAGTTTTTAGAGGGTTTAAAAAAACTTTTAAAACTATCTTCTCTTAATTAAACAACTCTTAAATAAGATTAAACTATTTTTAATCCCTTCTTTCTTCTTCTAAATTTAACTCTTAGGAGAGTTGAGAAAAAGGAGTGCAAGGATGGAAAAAGTAAGGAAAGGGCTGAGTGAGAAAGTTGAAAAAAAAGAACTTGAGTTAAAAATATTTTTTTGTCAATTTTTATATTTTTGTTTAAATAAATTTATTTTTAATTAAGTGAAAATACAAATACACATTTAATTTTGACTACAACGGAAAGAGAATTCAGATATACTTTTTTAGAAACAAGAACATAATTAAGATTTTAAAGATTAAACAAAGATAAATAAGCATAAATTTATGTTGAATATATAGCTGATTCTAAGGGCTTCCAGAAGTTGTCGAAGGGTCACTAATCCTTGTAACGATGACTGATATGAGCACAACTTCTGAATTGAAGGATAGTTTTTCTCAGGTCAATTGGGCCTATGGCCTACTCTATGACCGTTCTTATGTGTGATGAGTAAACTTTAGGTCTCTTTTAAGAAAAGGGAATAATTTGTTAGTATTATTTATTAATTAAATTTATAATTTTATTTTAATAATTTATATTTACATTATATAAATTTTTAATTTTACTTGATAATCAGTACTATATTTATAAAAAAAACGATATTTATTTTACCTCTCAAATTCATCCCTGCCCTTATTTCCTTCTTTCTTTTGCCTATTTTGTTGTTGTCAGGAAAATATTTGCCCCAACTTATTCGTACTTTTTTAATAATCATTGAACACGTTTCATATCAAATAATATATAAAATTGAACTGCAAAATTTTTTTAAAAAAAAATAACAATCCACTTTATAGTTTTTAGAGGACAAGAATTAAATCATATTATTAAAAAAGAAAAAAAAAATTCATCCCCATAGTTTAGCTATTATCGTAATTTACTTATTATCTAGTATTGGCGAATATCTATATCATCAAATTATCTGTCATTTACACGGTAAAATAAAAATTTTCCCATAAAAGTTAGGATAAAATGGCTAATCATGGATACTGATTTGTTTTTCTAATATCTTTTATTTCTTTATATTTTCAATAGTGCATTTGTCCCATTTTGTATTTTAAAAATGATTTGTGTTCATTGATTGATTTAGAAAATGATATTATTTCAAGATTTAGTTTCTATAAAGTAAAAGTATATGAAAAATAAAAAAAAAATTTATTTACTCTTGATTTAAATTTATAACTTCATAAAATCAACCCGCTTTAAATAAAATATATAAATTATCTTTGTTTTAGTCCTTCAATCTAATTAGTTATCAATTTGAATTTGGTTTCTAGATTAAGGTACCATTTCACTTAATTTTCTATTCATCAAAGAAATATAATTTTATGTGACACAATCGATAGATTAAATTAATGACCAAAACTTTCAAATAATCAAGTAATGACCCTTGACCATTTTGGAAAACGAAAAATGATTCTATCTGCTTCAATATATAATAAAATAAAGTCTTCATTTTAAAAATTAAATAATCTCATATACATTGTATTTTTCTTAAAGCATGTATCTTTACTTTTAAAAATTTATATTAATTAATTTTAAATTTTATTTTTACGTTAATTTTTGTTTTCTTTATCTAGATTTTGTATACTTATTTATAGTCTAGAGTTAATTACTTCTAACTCTACTTTTTATATATTAAACTAAAACCTATTCTAAAGTGTCTGTTTCTATTTTAACAAAAAAAATTATCTTGAATTCATTATAATTTTTTTTAATAAAAAATGACGTTTTTATTTTTATATAATTAAAATGTATAAAATTAATTTTATATAGTGTAAATTTACTTTATATTTTGACTAAAACCAAGTATATTATTAAATATAAAAATTAAATTTGATAACATAATAACGACGATAAACGGTACGATCTATTTTACAGGTATTCTCTAATGCGAAAAGGTGGCATTCTTGCATCTATATTCGGTCACCTAATACGGCCGTCACTTGGTTGGAAGTCAAAGAAAAAAAAGGTTATTACCAAATCAAAACAGAATCATAATTAATTAGCTACCTGTCTTAATCATACTTTTTTTTTTTTTTTATCTAACTCTCCCTTTATACAGCAAAGAACTTATAAAGAAAATGCGATTAGTTTATCTTACAGATTAATATTTCCATCACTAACATAAATATGGAAAAAAGGTTCGCATCATAAAAATATTAGATGGGGAAAAAATTAAATATTTTGCTTTGATATTGTGATAAACACTTGAAAAAGAATAATTGAATGCAAAAGCATTTGTGAGTTTTTATGTTAGAAGTGAGTCACACAGAAAAGAGGCTTTACCGTAAGATAATAGCGATGGCCACTCTTTTCAAATTTGGAAAAGCCATATTCAAAGGAGAAACAACTAAGACCAAGAACAGATATAGAACCAGTGGCGGGGTCAACTTGTTCTTCTTTCCCCTCCACCATCCACCACTATGAAACCAAACACTTGATCCACTCTCTCTTTCATAATCCTTAAATATTACAAACTCTCTTACGTTTGTTTGCTCTTTCAAACATGCTGGGTTTTTGTTCCTTCTTCTTTTGGTTCTTTTTCTCTCACGCTTTTTTCACCACAGTTTCATTCTCTGCGGACACCTTAACCTCAACACAAATCCTCAGAACCAACGAAACCCTCCTATCATCAAACCAGGTTTTTGTTCTGGGCTTCTTCACGGGTCTCAATTCCAACTTGTATTTGGGCATATGGTACAGCAACATTGACGATGGAACAGTCGTTTGGGTGGCAAACAGAGACAACCCACTTCAGAACTCCTCAGGATTTCTCAAAATCGGAGACAATGGAAACATGGTTGTCGTGAATCCATCAAAGAACCCCGTTTGGTTCTCCAACCAAACCACAGCTAAAAATCCCGTTCTTCAGCTTTTGAACACTGGGAACTTAGTTCTTAGAGAAGCAAACTTAAATGAAACCGATCCCACAAACACACAGTATCTATGGCAGAGCTTCGATTACCCAACAGACACACTGTTACCGGGAATGAAGATGGGGTGGAACTTGGACACGCGCACGGAGAAGCACATAACATCATGGAGTAACACAGGGGAAGACCCTTCAACCGGTAACTATTCTTTCAAGATGGATTATCGTGGGCTACCCGAAATTTTCTTGTGGTTCAACAATAAAACAAAAACATACAGAAGTGGGCCTTGGAATGGTGATAGATTCAGTGGGGTACCCGAGATGCAACCAGACACAGATTCTATCACGTTTAATTTTTCATCAGATCGACATGGAGTGTACTACTCCTTCTTCATTGGGAACCAATCGATATTTTCAAGGCTCATTGTTACTTCCTATGGTGAACTTCAGCGCCTAACTTGGGTACCAAGCAGCAAGACTTGGACAAAGTTTTGGTATGCACCTAAAGATCAGTGTGATGGGTATAGCGAGTGTGGTCCTTATGGAATATGTGACTCTAATGCTTCTCCGGTTTGCACGTGTATGAGAGGGTTCAGGCCTAAGAATCAGCAGGCTTGGAATTTGAGAGATGGGTCTGACGGGTGTGTGAGAAACACGGATTTAGATTGTGGAAGTGATAAGTTTTTGCATTTGCAGAATGTGAAGTTGCCAGAGACAAGTAATGTGTTTGTGAACAGGAGCATGAGCCTTGTGGAATGTGGAGATTTGTGCCACGGGAACTGTTCCTGCACTGCTTATGCTAACATTGAGATCACGAATGGAGGAAGTGGGTGTGTCATGTGGATTGGTGAACTCATAGACATGAGGCAGTATCCTGAGGGAGGCCAAGATCTCTATGTCAGATTATCAGCTTCTGATTTAGGTACGTGATTTCTTCTCTTCTATGCTTGTTATTTCTCTTTATCCAATTGTTTCTGTTCTGTTCTAGCCTCGATTTTCTGTTACATTAGAAATTAGGCTGAGAGGTCTTATGAATGTGATTAAGAAATTAGGCTGTGTCTTGTGAATTAGATTAAGATTGATAGGTTTTTCTTATGAATGTGTCGATGGATACACGATTCAAACCTTCAAAACATTAAAAATACGATTTTAGAATCTTGTAGAAGTGGAATTGCCGTTACTAGGTTCACCCAAATGTTGCAATTAGGAAATAGAGAGTATTTACATTTGCTTTATGGAAATGTGGGCGCGGCTACTAGACAGAGATTGATATGGAACTCGTTTCACGTGCTCCCACTCTCTCCTGTTGCAACCCTCATTTGGCTTTTTCAGAATTAGAATTCGTCTAGCATATACCACCTAAGAAAAGGATATTTTATTCAAATGAAACAGTTTTAATGCATTACTTTTTGGTACATGGTTTTAATATGTTTAATTGCAAACTAATCTATCTAGAAGGAAAATTACTGTTACTGGTCCCATATCATTGCATCAAGTAATTGATGTAGGTCTGATATTAAATACAAGTACTATACTATATTTGTAAAAGCACCAGCACATTTTCGGGCGTGCTATAAAAACTTTTTAAAGAAATTTGAAAAAAAATTATTATTTTCTGAAATATCAGTTACACTTTAAGATCTCACTGTAAAACAATTACTTTAAGCAATGAAATATTTGCTTTCCATTTTGGAATATAAATCATTTTGCAAGCTGAAGGTGAAATCAATGTGTGTGAATTATTCCCTTTGAATGAGTAAAATATGTATTCAGACTGATGTGATTATTATGATTGAATTCAAAGTATTTTTACCTTTTGTTTAATAATAGTGTAACAGCATAAAAAATTGCATATAGCTTTTGCAAAAAATAAAATAAAATAATATAGGTAGCGTAAAAATAATATTTTGAAAGTAATTTTCAACTCCCAAGACATCATTGCTTTGTTACACAAGGAAAATGATTTGCACGATAATTCCGTGAAGAGCACACAAAAAATTACTTTTAGCTCTTTATTTGATAAATAATTGGTCAATTGTTTTAGTATTCCTTTCCAATTTCTTGGTGCCGCCTGTTTTCACATATGATCTGGCTGTGTCTGGGGGAGGAAACAACTGACTTTAAAAATATGAATTTATTATAATATCTTTTTTTATCTCACTCTAGATTAATACATCTAAGGAATGTCTACAAATTAATTTTCTAATTCCTTTGATTGGTTGGGTAATCTGCAAATGGAATAAAAAATATGCTTTTTTTGTTCAACAAATAAATATGCTTCATTAAACCTTTTTCTACAATTTGAGGGCCCCACAATGTGGGCCCTACCGACGCTGGGGGCGGACTTTTTGACTCGTTAGGTTTTCTTCTTGGGCCGGAGGAGCTATTGCTACAATCTTGTCGTAATCATATTAAATAATATGGAACAAAAAAAATATGTTTAAAGAGTTACTAACACATTTACATCATTTTAATTTTCTTTTTTTGGTCAATACATTCACAGTTACATCATTTCTTTGACTCAAATATATAATTCCATCCGAAAATGATTTTTTGCATTTACAATGTTATTATGTAGAAAGTTTAATATGAGATGAACAGACAGCAATTATAAGTACAAATAATTGCCTGCTTTGGTACATCATGGTTTTAAAATGTTAATAACAAGAAAATGTCATTGACAGCGCTGTTGATTTTATTTCACAGCTAGCTTAGATTTGCTTGTGTTCATATTGGAATGGGAAAGAAAATAGAGGTTGGGTTGGATTAGTTACAAAGTTAGTCCTTGATAAAAGTTGAAAATGGATTCAGGAAATGTGGTGGACCACGCTAAGTTCTTAGGGGTTGGTATAATTTTGGTGCGTGTGAAAAAGGGTACGGAGTAATGACTTGGTTGATGAATATAGGGTCACCAAGGAACCACCCCTGAGGTGGGACCCATAAAAGCTTATTTTTATACATTTCGGTGGGAGTAGGCGCCATTCCAAAGTTGCATGTCTATGTAAAATGTGAGGGTCTATCAAATTCAAAACAAACAAAATTCTCTCATTTTTCTTAGCTTTTTTATGATTGTGATTTTCTTTATTAACTAAAACCACGATTAAAATATAATTAATAATGGAAAACTAAGCTAATTTGATTGGTTTCCTTCTCTTGGTCCTTTGAAGTGAAATTCTATTGCTAATTTCGCACGTCATCTTTGCCTCATAAATTCAATGCAAGCACAGTGAATGTTCCTTCATGCATAGTACGCATTGGTTGCATATAATTTGTTATGAGCTTGCAGGTTCCTTCCAAATTGATTTAAGTGGAAGTGTGACACGGTTTCTGTCTTGACTCTTGACTATAGACTATTTTACATGTAATTGCCAGTATTAACACCACTAGAAAACCTATCTTTTAACAGTTGAAACAAATATTAAGTGAATATCTGTACTAAAAAAAACTTGTTTTTCACAGATAATGTAGGATCTGCAGGTGGCTCTCACAAGACAAACCGTAGAGCTGAGGTTGCAGGAATTACAATTTCTGTAGCTGTTATAATTTTGGGATTGGGTGTCATTTTATGTAAGAAGAGGAAAATGTTACGTATATCTAATGGCAAGAGAGAGAACAGAGGTAATGCACAAGTAGTTCCCTGCATGTAAAATGTGTATGGTATATATATGTTGTTGTGCTACATGATAAAATGTCTTGGTTCTTGCTACTAAACCAGGTCCTTTCCAAAGAAGTCGGGATTTGCTAATGAATGAGGTGGTGCTTTCAAGTAATAGAGAAAACTCGGGAGAAAGGAACATGGATGATCTAGAGTTGCCAATGTTTGATTTTAATACCATAACAATGGCTACAAACAACTTCTCTGAAGACAACAAACTTGGTCAGGGAGGCTTTGGCAGTGTTTACAGGGTAGGTTTGTTTTATAGATGTCATCATATCTCAATCACAAAGCACACATGACACACTCATCCTAACGAGAGTGTTTATGCGGTGACTATATCAGGGTAGGTTGATAGAAGGCCAAGAGATTGCTGTCAAGAGGTTATCAAGAAACTCTGGCCAAGGAGTTGAAGAATTTAAGAATGAGGTCAAGTTAATTGTTAAGCTTCAACATCGAAATCTAGTTCGGCTTTTTGGTTGCTGCATTGAGATGGACGAGAAACTGCTGGTGTATGAGTACATGGAAAATAGAAGCCTTGATTCCATTTTGTTTGGTAAGTTATTTTGACAATATACCTGAAAGATTTTTTGTTTTTTTTTTTTAAATGCAGACATATTCTGCTTATTCAAGTCTTGATTTTAATATTCAAATGCTTTTATTATAAATAATGTTCCAGACAAAGCCAAAAAGCCCTTACTGGATTGGGAAAGGCGATTCAACATTATATGTGGAATAGCAAGAGGGATTCTTTATCTGCATCATGATTCCAGATTCAGGATTATCCATAGGGATCTCAAGGCAAGTAATGTTCTACTTGACAGTGAAATGAATCCAAAGATATCAGACTTTGGGATGGCTAGAATTTTTGGTTCCGATCAGACAGAAGCAAATACATTAAGGGTTGTTGGAACATAGTGAGTACCACAATATCACGCTACAGTTCTCTTTTTATAAGATCGAATAAGGTGACCTCATTTTTCTAATGTGCAGCGGCTATATGTCTCCTGAATATGCTATGGATGGGAACTTCTCAGTGAAATCTGACGTTTTTAGCTTTGGAGTTCTAGTGCTGGAAATTATAAGTGGAAAGAAAAATAGAGGATTCTATTATTCGAACAATGACATGAATCTTCTAGGGAATGTAAGTGAGAATGTTTCCTGTTAGAATGCTACATAATTGATAATATCATATTCTGTTAACAAACAATTGATGGTGCTTTCTTGTTGTAGGCATGGAAACTGTGGAAAGACGGCAGTGCATTGGAACTCATAGATTCGTCAGTTGGAGATTCATATTCGCCATCTGAAGTTCTTAGATGCATACATGTTGGGCTATTGTGTGTCCAAGAACGTCCAGAAGATAGGCCAACAATGTCTTCAGTGATGTTGATGCTGAGTAGTGAAACTTCATTAATGCCACAACCCAGAAACCCTGGCTTTTCCATAGGAAGGAATCCTGCAGAGACTGATTCTTCCTCAAGTAAGCAAGATGAATCATGGAGTGTGAACCAAGTCACAGTCACATTATTAGATGCTAGGTAGTCAAAGAAGCAAGACATCACCTAACATATTTGTATATTCCCAAAAGTATAAAAAAAAATATTCTGTAAATTTTCCTTCCTCTGACAGATGCGGCATCTTTGAGATCTACTTTGATCTTGTTTTGGTCTAATATGTAAGAGAGATCATTATTGAGAAACATACTGCTTAGTTTAAGACTTGATGCGACTTTCTGCCGCTGAAATCTAGTTTATTCATTCACTCTCATGGTTGTCTCCATGTCCAGCAGTTTCAGACTCTAGACATTATCTTGAATTGAGTCAGGTTTATTATTTATTTGGATTTTGTTGAAGCTCGTCATAAATTACATTTATGGCTAAATAAGACCTTATAAAGGTTAAAGGAATCTTTACTTTATGATCTAGTTTTTGAGATTAAGTTAGACTTGAGTTCAAATTTAAGATGACTTTAAGAACTACAGATTTGGTCAAATAAAAACTTGTAAAGATTTTAACATTCCTCACTTTACGAGTTAACTTTTGAGGTTGAGCTAAACTTGCGCCCAAATTTAAGAGATTTAATGTCAAGTTTAATTTTACTATGGCTTACACTTTTTAATACACTCACCCAATATTTGTCGATAAGATCTTATTAACTATATTAACAACTAGTATTAAACTCATTCGGTTATGCAGTAACGCATCATAAGAAAGTGTAAAATCATTTTAGTAATTAGGAGAATTAATAGAAAAGTTGTTTAGGGGAATTTTAAACTATTCTTCTTATTTAGGGAGTGGGTAAGCTATGTGAAGAGAGAAGGGATTTTCCTTTGACTAATGAATAGAGTGGTAACTTTCTTTGGAGCTTCCTTACATCATCATGAAGAGAAACTAATACCTGTTTCACTGTAGATTGAACAAATATATAATTCTTTAATAAGAATACAATGAAACTTTAGTCTTCGGCTCGGAGGTTAAGGATGTTTTCTAGTAACTAAGAAAGTGAAGTTATTTTGTAGGCCTCTTTGTGTGTCATACACCTAAAAGCTTTGGTCTTCTTTTACAAAATACTACCCAATTGCCTAAAAGCTTTTCCTCCCAATTATGCTGCAGAGAGAAAAATTGCAAGAGCTTCCAATAGAGTAATAGTCATACCATTGTTACTAAAACTCTCCTTGTCACTGTACCCATGTAATTCTGACTCTTCTTCAAAGAAGTCTGGCTTCTTTGGTTGGGATACTTTCATTGCTCAACATGAAAACCACAGATGAAATAGTTGGTCTGTCTTCGGGTAACTTTTGAACACACAAGAGACCGACTTGCAGGCACCTTAGAAATTCAGAAGGAACAGATGTAAGGTCTAAATTCACATCCATGAATTCTGCAGCTAGTCCCTCTGTCCATAGTGTCCATGCCTAAGTAGTTTTAAAAAAGGTTAATATATACTCGTAAGCAAATTACAAAGAAAAATCCGGAAATGGATTTTATAGTGAAGTTAATGTTGCAATGCATGAGGTTTGTTTGGTTACCTGCCACAACAAATTATGTTCTTGATCTGGATGGTTGAAGTTTCTATTTCTGATGCCACTCAATATCTCTAACACTATGACTCCAAAGCTAAATACATCAAACTTCAGCGAAAGAAACCCATTCACGCATACTGAGGGGACATGTAACCGCTGCATATCATCATAAACAAGCATGAATTTTATTTTATAATTTATATTACAATATAACCAACCTCACCTAATGGGATAAGGCTTGGTTGTTATTGTAATTTGTATTACAATAAAATAAATTATATCATCATAAATAAACAATCAGGAGTGATTTATCATATAACTTACACTCTCCCAACAATTCTATTTGTTGTTACTTCAAAATGATCTCCTTCAAAGATGTGGGCCACACCAAAATCTGAGTGTACTGGATAGGAAACTGCTCGGTCTTACATATAGGAAAAAGAAACCGAGTATCTATTTGGCCCAGTTTGGCCGAATATCTTGTTATAGGATTAAAAGGTAATTAACTCAGTTAAAGGTAATAATCAGAGCATTATCTACTTTAAGTAAAGGGCCAAAATTAAGGCTAACTCATCAGGCCCATTAGCCCATAATAAAGTCTATAAAAGGAGGGTAAGAAGTACAGGTAAATGATTGACTTTCATTATAAAATAGCATTTATTACTCAGAATCGAATCCTGACTTCAGCATCGGAGTGCCTTTTGCAGGTACCCTCTCACGTCAGCAATGATCAGAAAGACGTCATCGCTACAGATCAGAGACTTGAAGATTAGTGTTTCTCAAGCAGGAACACTGAGATTTTGGAGTTCAATTCACTGTCAAGTAGAATGTTACTAGTTTTTAGATCCCTATGAATGATGGTTAGTTTTGAATCTTGATGAAGATAAAGTAGTCCTCGAGCAATCCCCATAATAATTCCATATCTTCTCTTCCACTTCAAAAATTTTCCTTGTACAGGATCTGAGGAAGAGCATAAAAAGGTTACTTAGCAATGTAGTGCAAGTTATCTGAAGCAAAAGAGTAAAATAACATAATAGGTAATATGCTAGCAGTGCTTTTCTAAGTTGCAAGTAAGGGAAATTACATAGTTTGCATTGATGGAATTACCAAAAATGAAGTGGTCCAAGCTTCTGTTAGGCATGTATTTATAGACCAACATTCTTTCTTCTCCTTGAGTGCATCCACCCAGAACACACACAAGATTACGGTGTTGAAGTTTGGCTACTAATCCAACTTCATTTTTAATCGCCTTGTTTTGAGGCTTTTGATAGCCTTTTCACAGCTATTTCTTTTTCATGAGCCAATTTACCCTGATTTTTAGTGGAAAGAGTTAAACTAATGACAAAAAATAAAATTTCACTCCTTAATGGTAAAAAAATGAGAGAAAATTACCTTGTAGACTGAGCCAAAACCCTCTTCTCCAATTTTGTTCTCAAAAGAAAAGTTGTTTGTAGCAGCTAAAATAGTTTCTACATTAAAAAGAGGCGATGCATGATCTTCACTTTGATTTCTATGATCTGCGACTAAAAACATTTTTTACATAGCTTAACCCTATCACAACTAGACTTTTCTCTTGGATAACTTATTACAGACAAACTATTCAACCATTGCCTTGATTTGTCTTGCCTATAATGTTATCTTGTTAATTCTGTTTACAGATATATCTAACCAAAAGTCTCTGTGATTACTATTTAACTTTATTTAGTCAGATAGTAATTTGATTCTACCTTTCTAGTTAAACTTTAAAACATAAAAAGAAAATATGAGAAACATTACTAAGCTTACTAAATATGTCAATCATCTGAGCTTTAGGCAGAATTTATCAAGATGAACGTTCTAACAAATATATTGTTTCTCAAGGTAAAATATAACTAATATTGCAGTTCACTTTCTTTCTTCTTCTCAAAAATATATTTTCTGCTCCAACAAAGATTTGAAAAAGCTCTTGGATGGAAGAATCAGAGTTGAAAACTCTTAAAATTGGGCTTGAGCTTAACTCAACTCCAAAAGCTAGCTTGTAAGGTGACAACTCTTAAATTTGTAGTTGATGTGGGCTTCAACAACAACAATTCACATTATCAATAATCACATTTAATTGCTAAAGAATCTTACCCAAATCAGTAGTGCTCCTCCGCTTTGTATACTTCTTAGAAAGGTAGAAAATGATACACAGAAGCAGCAGTGCCAAAGGTACTGAAATGATTAATGTTATCTTTCGCCTTTTACTAGTATTGGCAGTAGACTCTTACACAAGAATCCAACATATACTAAAGTTTCAGTACATATATTTCTTCAAGAGAAAGCATATGTAAATATAAAAGAAAGTGTAATCAAGAATACAGTGTAGTAAAATGTAAACAAATTAATAATTTGTCTCTTTACAGTAATTGCTGGTTGTCTAGATTTTTTTTTTTGGTCCAAATCTGTTTGCCTAGATGGAACGTGCCACAACTAACTGATAAGTTTGTAATTATGCCCTCTTTTACAGCTCATATATTCATATTTAACATTTATTTTATTTGGATTTTACACTAATTTATATATTAATTGTGTAGTTTGGTATAAAGAGGCCGTAAGTGGATTTTTGGTGCATTTTGGGCCCAAATTAATGGAAGATTAGAGCTTCGCAGCAGCCAGCACGCCCAGACCCTTTGCATAGCCGCGCTCATCTGCGAGAAGCCCTATTATCAAGAGTCTTTAGGGTTTTTAAACCCTATTAAAAGGAGATCTCAAGCATCATAAAAGAGAACCGTTTTTACATCTCGTCTTTGGCTTTCAGATACACTTCTCATCTCGTCTCTCTTGCACGGGATCCTTGGCATATGCTTGGCGAGACTTGGAGTTTCAAGCGATTGTACTTATAGACCGAGAACACATCTCATACTTTAGTTTGCTATTTCTTTTGATTATAGCTTTGTTTATGATTGTTTTAGTTCTTTTCTTTAGCATGAGTAACTGAGTCTATAGCTAGGGCTATGAGAACTATTGTTCATGAATTTATGAAATTTTGATGTTTGAATCTAAATTTGATTTCTGTTTTGTGATTAGATTTTATCCTATTGTGCTTCTTTCTTAATCCTAATTAATTATATTGTCAGACGACCGTACCTTGGTTAATTAATAGATCTATAGGGTAAAACGAGACAAAGGATTAGGTGGACCAAACCAATCTTTCTCTTCTAATCGTTATTAAATTAACAAGTTCGTAGGTTCCTTAAGCTTTCTTAAATTGATTTCTTGCATGACCATTGGGGATGTTAATTTAGAGAAAAGAATATTAATATTGCATGATCATTGGGTATTAATAGTATTCGTATGAATGATTGGTAATCACAAGGAAATCGAATTTAGAGTTAAACAGAAGAATAATATAAAGGATTGAATGAGAAAACCCATATGCCTTAGGTTCCTCTTCGATAAGTTTAATTAAGATGTGCATTGTATTCCTTTCTCTTAGTTTATAATTAATTTTATAAATTCTTGTTTTAATTAATCTCATATCTTTGAAGCTTAAATAATTGAATTAAAAAATTCTTAGTAATTGGAAAACAATCCTTGTAGGACGATATTTCAGAAATTTAATTTAAGAACCCTTTATTATTTATCGATGGGTACACTTACCCTCCAAACAAGTTTTTGGTGCCGTTGCCAGGGATTGCTTTTTCAATATTAAGAAAATCTCAAATTTAATTGATTTAAACAATTTGTGTTTTATTTTATTTTAATTCTATTTTGTTCATTGTTAAATTTTTT